CATGATTTATGTCTTCAATGGCTACATGAAACCTTTCAGCTACACGATGCCTACCATTATTTTAAACAAATATTACTTGGCGCGTATGAATCCATTTACTTATTACTTTACAATCTCAGCAAAAAAAACAAAAATATGGTGATTCTGACTGGATTCCTTGAAGCAAAAGCTTGCAACTGTAGGTTGTGAATGTAAATACAGGCTATGCCCCAAGCCAACCTTGGAGCTAAAAACTCCATGTACATTAAGTCATGAACTGGGTGGGACACAGCACAGCCCCAACTACAGCAGTTCTGTCATAGCGATCCCTCTCGCAGGGTATCTATGACGCTGGCTGAACACAGTTTGATCTGTATCAGTCTTTCATCGGCGAATGTACACCACAGGTTCCAATATGAAATTACAATCTAACAATACAAGATTGCTTTGATTTCTGTAAGATTGTTGGTATACATTTCTAGTTTTCTTAAGACAGGCAAGAGTGGTTCAGGCTTGATATCTTTTCCTTCCATACAGAGGTTTGAAAAAAAATTGAATTTTTTTCTAGATGTAATTTAAAAGATAACAAAATAACATACACACAACAGAACAATGGATGATATAATGCATTTGTTTGTAGCTGTAGAATTATTTTCATAGTTTACTTATTGAAGATTGGCATTATTTGTTTCAGAACATGTTCTTGGTTTGCCATAATAAAACAAAAACATTTTTTACATGGTTGTCTGTCCAGCATTAGAACTAGATTCCAAAAGATCTGGGTCTTTAGGGAGATTTTTGTAATTTGACATAAAGCAAATACAGGGATTTTTTTTTTCTATAACTGCAGAAAATGTTTGACAGACAATACTTCCAAGACAGGCTAAATGCTACTGGAGCAGATAATGCATGTGCTTTAATGGAAACATTCACTTTTATATCCAGCAGCTGTGTAGCTTTCAGGTATTAATGATAAATTAATGATAATGTGAAAAAGAACCACCTCTAGCAGTACATTTATGGTGATTTTCAGCTTCTGTTCTAAAGATGAGGCATTCGCTTATATTAATCTCTTTTTTTTTTGGGTGCTTTTACCATGTGCTTTTCACCTTATCAATAGAGCTAAATTAATGACAACCTACTGAGTGTTGATAGAAAATTAGAGGTGAGACAGCGGGGGATGATTTAGGCCGTGAAGTAGTGATTACCCCTGGAAGGATACGGGGATTCGCTTTGGCTCTGCTGTGTACCATACCAAATTGAGCACAAAATCAAAGCCAGAGACTTTGACTCATCGCTTATTGGCAGGCTGCTGAGTACAAGAGTTAGAAGGTGGAATGAAGGGTAAGTGGACAAGTCCTCATATTGGCATTTTGTGTAATTAACAGCCATAAAACAGCAAGCTTTACAGGCAGAGGCGGCGCATTTGCAGAATTAGACATTGCTCAGTGAACGTTTCCCCAACTATTTAAGGATTTCTTTTTGCCATTATCTTCAGTAGCGGTGCTGTCTGTTTTATCAAGTAGTTGCTGATGTTTCACTAGCATGTGCATTGTGCAGAAAAGGTCATCAAAATAAGATGGTTTTCCTTTCTTTTTCAGTTAACTGTGCTGCATTCTTTGGTTTAAATATTTTAGACATACCAGACTTTTCCTGTGGAACTCAAAAGCACATATGCTTCTAATTTAGATCATTTATTAAATCATGCACTTGACAACAAACCCTTTTTTCTAGATATATAAATATTTGAATCTACATTAAAAAATGCAACATGAAAGGTTTTAAGTACATTCAGTATGCACACACTTTGTATCACCAAAGGACAGTGACAGTACAAGGTTTGCCTCTTGTTAACTCCTTGTTAATGTGTTTTTTTTTGTTATTAACTCCTGCTTACTACTCACCTACAGTATAACCACTAAGGCCTTTTTGTCCAGTTGAAACTTTACCTCATTCCTTTTCAGAACTTTTTTCTGCATATTATGGATCACCCTTAACTAAAAAATTAAAATAAAATGAATTTTAAAATTTCTTAGGTGTTATTATATTAGAAGTCCAAAATTATTAAAAAGAATACTTAAAGGAGGGGGAGAATGAGGTGAAAATGATACAAGAAAAGCTGTAGATTGTTTGTATTACATTTTTAGAAATGTTGTGGCTAGTCATTTGTTTCTATTAATTTTTTCAAAGTTATGGATCTCCATTTTCTGTCATTTTATCTGCATCACAAACATCACCTGTTAGTATGTTGTATTTGTTTGCTTTTTTTGGTTTGGAAGAGTGTGATACTTTTAGAATTGTTTTTCTCTTACTTTATGTATAATATTCTGTCCTTTTTGACTTGTATGAGATTAGATTTTTTTTTCATGACATATACTAATGATATAAGAGGATTTGTTAAGAGATGGTCACTGGGGGAGGTATTTTTCTGTTGGGGCTCCTCTACCACTTTTTTTGCTTCCTTTTTTTCTTCATGATGATGTTGAGGTAATGGTATTATGGAGTGAGAATAAGAATAATTGCTATTGCTGTTTTTTATCTCTTATTCATTTCATCCAGGTTGTATTTTCTTCCTCTACATTAGATTCAGTATCTGCTACCCATGAATAATGTTTATATTTGGTACTATTTGGCCAAATTCTCCTGCCAAAATGGAACAGCTGTTTATATTTGGAAAAGGAAAACAAAGTGCTGGTTTGTTACAGAAGTCCCATTTGAAACAACAAGATGTCTGTAGTTTTAAGTATTACTATTTATCAACCTCTTTTTCAGCAGCGAACAAATACAGAGGTTGCCTTAATTGTTTTCTGAATACATTGTCAGATCTCTGTATTGGCATCCTGGGATGATTAATTGTTTACCTGGTATATTAAAAAAAAAGAATCTCAGGAGAAAATAATGGCTTTTGCCATTTTGAGTTAGATTTTTAAATCACATATTATTTTAAAGTTCATTTTGGTCATTGAGGTTGATTCAATCTTTGTATTATTACTTGTTATAAAAGTCCTCTGACACCCAAATTTGGCAGTTCGGCCAGTCTGTCCCTCAGTTCTAAGTAGTACATAAAGCCCAGGGAATGTAAAACAGATCCATCTGTATTATTCACAAAAGGGATGACATTATTTTTCAAGATGTACTTTCCACTGCTAAAACTAGAAGAACCTCAATGCATGTTTAATATAACCACAACTTGTGGTCCCATTTTGCATTTGACCGAGTCAATCAGTGGCTATTTGGCAAACTGATTTCTTTTCTTTGTCTATGGAGCTCTGTCACAGATTCTTGAGGTTAGCCTCGAATGGTAGTTCTGGAGAAAGTTGATCCAGGTAATGCCCAAGTTCTTTCAAGATTCCCAGTTGTAGCTCTTGGGAGCTAGCCTCCTAAACTATACTCCTGACCCCTTGTTTGGGTAAATCTCTTTGACATCCACTTCTTGGTGAAGTAGCAGCCACGTAGCATGAGTTGTCTAATAAAGGCCAGCATATTTGAAATTGGGACATACTGTATGGATTTTTGTATAGCTGCTACTAGAGTTGTTGAGGTCAATAATCTTTGACAAGTCTCTTACTTTCCACATAATGAAGGGCTTCTGTGTGTCTTGCTTTTGTGTTCCTCCTCCTTTAACACCCAGGAACAATCATGGTGACATCCAGAAACGTCTTTAAAATTTCTGAACCTCTGAAATTACCAGCTGACTAAAAAACACAAGTTGATGTGTGAGGTGTGCAACGTTTTTCAGTTGAATATTCATGCATCCATTACTTCTTTTCATAAATGTTCTATGTTAATAGTTTTAAACACATTCGATGTACACCTGCATTTTCTTGGCCAAATTAAATTTGTTGCAGTTCATCAAAGGTATGAGTAAAAAAGGAGATAATTCGAACCCCCTCGTGTTACCTACCACTGTAGAAACTGCCTATTGTATCCTTTTTTCCCTTTTAAATTCACTTATGAATCTAAAGTATATATTTTTTCCTAATAAAGTACTCAAATTGTAACTACATCACATCTAAAATTCTGATCTTTAATGTGTCTGAATTTCTCGAATCATGGTCATCTCGATTAGAGTGGTAACAGAGCTAAATGAAGGAAATATCTTTGATTTATTAAGGATTGTCCCACCTTTACAGCAATAAAACCACAAGGCTTTTGCTTTTCCTTTGGATGAGTCACTGCTTTAGAGGAGTTTTTAAATTGAAATATGATGAACACTAAGTAGCTTGTAATCTTATTGAAATGTTAAAGAATAAAATAATTTTGTCTAACTCTAGACATAACATGCTCTTAGTTTTGCTACAGATGGCAAAAACTTGAAGTTCCACCATTTAGTTAATCTGCTCTCCTATTCTTACTAAGAAAAGGAAAAAACCTCCTGCCATACAGTAGCTGTTGAATCTTCTTTTCTGCTTTGCCCATTGACGGTTTGAAAGTCAGATGATTTGTTCCATTTTTCTTTTGATTTCCACTCGCTAAATAACCAGTGGAAATTACTTTTTAGAACACGGAGAATAACTTTTTCTTTCCATTGTCAAATCAACTTAAGTTTTGTAAAAAGAGCTGTACTAAATTGCAGCTAGAGGCTAAGGCTCCAATTGCTGCAGTGCTATAGCGCAGAAATGCCATAACGGTTATGTGAAATCACAGCATGTCGGATAAAGTATATTGTTTAAGATTATAATAGTATAAAACTGTAGTCTCTTATGTGCTTTGAATGGGGAATAAATCTAAAAAGTATCGGCAAGAATGCTTGCATGCATTAGACCTGTTAGAATGATGTTCAGTTTGGGGTAATTTGGTAAAATGACATTAAGGTGTGTTGATTACCTACTTGTATGCGTTTAATGTATCGCAATCCATCAAATCTTAAGCAGTCGAAGCTGCAGAGAAAAAATACTAATAAAAATTATGAAACCTTAACCATATACATATTACTTTAAGCCTTTTATGTAATGATAATATAACAACTCAGATTAAAGATGACAAGATAAAAGGATGAGACACAAAAATTACAACATTCACTCAGTTCCATACTGGGTTCATTCAGTAAACATCTCATATTTTGTGGAAGACTGAATTGAAATCTGTCTTATGTCACAAGCAAGAGAGGATAAATCCCACCAGGAACAGCCTTTCATGTGGATCCCTTTCTCTCTTATCTTTGGCAGGAAACTATGTTGAGGGTTTGGAGATGGTTAGGTGAGGCACTATGTTGCTCATTGCTGTGACAGAAGCCTTTGTGGTCTGCAAAAGGAGAGCAAACTTCAGTGTTAATGGTTCTCAGCTTTAATTCATTAAGTGGAGTCCAATGTGGATTTCTGGTACTCAGACATTGAATGTGTTTTACTGAAGAACAGTAAGGGAAAGCTATGTGGTTCAGGGATTCTAAGGAAATACAGATTCTGTGTTTTCCAAAGACATCTCTGTTTTTTTTATGCAATATGCCTAGTTACACCTCTGGTAACCTAAATGGTAACACCCCTTATATAAAAAGGATTGCATTCCTTTATTCCAATAAGGAGTTCATTATTCCATTACTGGTGATATTGCACAGGGTGGGAGCAATGGGAAGTGTAGAAACTAGTGTTATAGTTAAAACTATTCAATAGTAAAAAGACAACAACCAGAAATAGGGCTGAGCATAAAGAGTTAACCCAAGGGATTAGAAAAACATATTGATGGATTGATGCCAACTGATTCTGTTTCATTCTGTTTCATGCTGTAATGGTAATGAAGTTTCCCTGTATTTGGTCATGGATACTGAACAGTAAGTTATTCACATCTTACAGACATCTCAGGCTTAGGGACAGGAAACAAAGTTACCCATAACAAACCATGTTTTCAAATAATATAGGATTTCAGCAGCTTTGTAGTTGAAAGTAAGAGCATCAGCTACTGATTGTGGTCCCTTGAATTCCTTGTTAACATCTCTCAAATACCCTTGTGATGGTGTCATGCTTTTCCATGTGCATCACATGTAATCAAAAACTTTAATTTGTGGCTTTCCTGTGGTACATGTTCTTCATGTTACAGCAGCCTAGACTTTTGTTTTTCCATCACCTTGCAGATTTCCAGTCTGCCATATTGCATAACCAAATACTGCTTCCTCATGTTTGATTGTTCTCAAAGATTTCTTCTTTTTCACTGACCATGGTACCACATGAATAATTCAAATGAGAAAAAAAATGCTTAGTCTTTGCTGACATTTCTACATTGATTTAGACTTGAAACTGGTGTTTTTATGCACATTTGCATCATGTCACCTGCAGTTGATTATATAATGTATGGACATGCTGTTTACTTATGCAGCCTTGATGCAAACTCTGACCACCCACTGGCAACTGTGAGTGATCCATGCAGCTTCATCCAATAAAGTTCAGCAACTTGAGGCCGAGAGGTGCCTGATCTCAATCAGCTATGAGCTGCTGTATTTAATGACAATGAAGGTGTTAAACTGAAGCAGAGCCACTCTGACTTGTGATATGCTGCTGCTGAATTTAACAATTTAATTTCTATCACGGACTCCTGTTGATCCTGCTGATAGAAAATGTAATTGAATATATGTTGAGTTTTTTGTCTAAAAAACATGATTCTTTTTAAGTGAACCTGAAATGGACTTGGGCTATATGCATTAGACTTACAAATCTCTGCAATAAATATAAGCATATAAAAAAAAAAAACTTTAAAATGTTTTGTTCTGACCTCAGACTTTTTGTTATTGAAGATAAGAGTGCAAAAATAATAGAATGAAGATCAGAGAAAGGCATAAGGCAAAGGTTTATGTTACAACTATAAACAAAGATAGTCTAGTCAAAAGTCTGGGGTTCAGATAAAGATCAGTTTCTATTTGATGGAACACTGGCAGGCCATTCTTTCAGAGCACTATTTATCAGCTGACCTACCACTAGAGGCCGTTAATGGGCCTACATTATTGTAAATAGACACACTGGGTGAATTGATCATTAATTTGATATTTGGTGACGGTTTAGTGGGCACATTCTCACAAAGGCTTGATAAATGTTATGTTTGAGTATAAAAAGGCCCTTACAGGGTTAGCTGGTGTCTGGGGAAATAGAAAGCAGCCTGGGGAGGCTGTGGTGTAGTTGTGTATTCTATAATCAACAATATATTTGCAATAAAACCTCCTGTACCGCCTGTTGTGGCTTTTTATGTGTTCAGGTCCTATGAGCTACCTTATTTAAGGGTGGAGTTTGGCACAAACACCTATGAAGCCATCCTTATCTGCGTATAACTACAGAACTTATTAACTGAAATAACATTTTTTTTTGTTCGTGGTCTCTCAAGCAGGACTTTTAAATCTTCTCTGTCTGGAGGTTCCATTTACAAGAAATTGATATCAGTAAGGACCCCCTCAACCACTTTAACACACATTTTTAAACAGATAAACATATTCATAGGGGAGGGGTCTTTTCAAACACTCTTCTCTGCCCCTTCACCTAAAAACTACACCAAATAAACAATATTCTTGATTACTGAGGCCTACATTTATTATAAGCTTTTCCGTCATTAAGTGTGAGCTATTAAGAAGAACTGTAGGTACACTGATTAACTATAAACACTGTCAAAGCAGATCGACTGTGAAAGTGTTGATTTTACACATTACTAGACTTGTTTCTATACAAGATGTTGCTGGTTTATAATTTAATTCACTGGCACAATTAAAGCCTGTTTTGTTTTTTTAGAACAGCAGATTCTTCCCTTTAAAATTTTCCGAGTCATCTAAAGGAACGGATTGTAAATACAGATTTTGTAGGAAACTCAAAACATAAAAAAGGAATATGGGCATAAATCATAGATGTTTGGGGGAAAAAAAATAAAGATGTGCTAGAAATGCTGTTTAACAGCATCTGCTTTGTCTAAATTTAGTTTCCAAGTCTTTTCTTATTTTCTTTCTTCCAACTTCCCTGAGGAAGGATATCATAATGCAGTGCTGGAAACTAAAACCCACAACATCAGAAAAACCGCTGGGAACTGACCTGCCTTTACTGAAGGCAAGTAAGGAGAGTATAGCTGGCCCTAGCACTAGAAAGATTTTATCTGGGAAACCTGATGGCCTACAGTATATGCTTCGAGAAGGAGATGAAAAAAGTGTTGTTTGTTTTTAACGGAAGATTACATTTGCCCAAGACAAAAGAAGAGAGCAAGTCCATAGCAGGTTTTAAGATTTGGTGCAGCAGGTGTTAAATGCACTTGTCGAGCCATTGGTGTGTGGGGGGGGGTATATTGGTGCTGTGACCCTGAAGTTGAGAGGTCAAACCCCTGATCTCTAAGGACCACCACACATGACACTGACAGTCCATCAGTGAGTAGAATGTGGCTGGACCACCTGTGGTGCCAACACTGGAAAATTAACTTTAATTAGATGAAATTACAATGCGCTCATAAAGTAGGTCACTCGTTAATGGTGGTCCCAACAATTGCCACTTTAATGGAGTAAAGGGGTTTATCATCCATCATCAGGTGCTTTGATGCCACATGGTGTTCGTCAATTTGCATAACCTTATGGAACATGGTAAAACTTACTATGAAGTGTGTGTGTTTTTCAGGGCCGCTGTAAGTTAAAATGTGTGAGCTTGTAACATCTGCAAATGTCGGTGGAGGAGAGGTCTGCATTTGCTTTCACTTTTAAGTGAAGTGGAAATAGAGGTCATGTGCTGAACTCAGTGAACCTAGTGACTGCTCTTCAGTTTTGTCAAAAAAACATTAGATTTTACAGCAGTGTGTTCATTGTCAAGTTTTTTTTAAGGTTTAAAATGGACACTAGCCTTGCATTTTAAAGCATTTTAACGAGACAATAGATATCGATAGTCCCCATATTGCAAAACAGGGCTCATTTGCACCTCACTCACATTAGCTTTTGGAAAGACTAAGTACTATAAGTAACTTTAGAAAGCAAAGTACATGGCTTCTCTGTTGCTCAAAATATTTTGCTGTCATTCCAGCTATGGTACAATTACTGTATATTTATGCCTTAACATTGTTTAAATGTTTAAATTTGAGTAGATTTAAGCAGATTATTTTTTGGGATAAATTGTGCCAAATTTCTGAAACTCATTACATTTGTTATGTAAATGCCTTCAAATTAGTTGATTTACTGTTTGCTAATAGAATATATCTCTTTATATACCACTTTTGTTGAATTTTAGAGTGTAGGAGCTAGGAGGCCAGTAAACACTGAGAACATGCATGAAATGCACAAAATTCACTGTTTTTCATAACTGCCAGCCCTTGACTGACAGGCAGTGTTAATTCTTGGCAGTCTGTGGTACTGTTTTTCTTAAGTTGCCTTATTGTGCTCTCAAGAGAACAGTAACTCTTTGCAGGTTTTTGGATGAGTCGTTTGCGGTTACAAATGTCTTATTATTTAAATGAAGCAAACCAGAAGCAAGCTGGATAAAACAGATTTTTGTTGCCCCTTCTATCTTGGGATACAACATTATTTATACTTTTACTGTGAGTGTTTAGAAAAAGAGGTCAGTTGGTAGCAACACTGCATTAGGGTTACCCCCTGCTGAGGAGCTGGAATCATGATGTTTGTTGAGGCAGTAACTGGACCTGCTGTAGCCAGAAATAATTAAGCTTGCTGTCATAGACGTTCTGCAGTATTTGCAGAAAACCACTTCCAAGTCTCAACATGGGAGCGCCCTTCTGCTTCACATTAGTTTCCTGATTAAAGCCAACTACAGAAATTTCTGAAGTCAGTTTAATTTACTCGGGATACTTTCACTAGAAAGTTGCACTTTCTTTGCCCGAGGCATCTGTGCATGTGAAGCCCTTCCAGAAGAAATACAGTTGACCTGTCTCTCCCACATTATGTGCTGAAGAGTTCATTGAGTCTTATTAATCTCAGTTAAATAATTATTTGACTCTTATTATCTGCTTACCACCTTTGAATGTTTGAACAGTGCTACTAATATAATAATAATAATAATTATTGTCATTTAAAGCGCTTTGAGAAGCCACCTTTAAAGGCACTATATAAAATAAAGTTGTTTATTATTATTATTATTATTATTATTATTATTATTATTTTCATATTATAAGTTTGCTTTTTCTGATATGTTTTAATTATCTTAAGTGGACCCTCTATTGTTAAGAAACAGGTTGATTAATTTATTTTCAGCCTAAGGTATAATAACTGAATCTAGGAGCTTTTTCCTTTTCCTCTTGCAAGATGTAGTAAGGTTTTTCATGTCAGGGAAAAAAAAACGTTGGTAGTCAAATTAATTACATAACCTACAGCCAGTAGTTCCTGGTTTATAATCAGACATCTGCTTACCCGGATTTTTTTACATTTCTCCTAGTAGAGCACAATAAAAAGAAATACTTACCTATTAAGTATGTTTGCAATTTTCTGATTTGTGGTGTGATATAATTTTTTATCACCAGGTTATTTTGCAAGGTTTTTTTTTAGCATATTGTTAAATGTTCACTAATTTGCAGTGATAATTTGCGGAATATAACCCTTTTTTGAAGAGTGACAGCATCCCGTCGATTGTGCTTTGGTTAGGTTTAGTTTCCTTTTTTAAATAGTTGCTGTTACCATGGCTACCAGCAGCATTCCATTTTGGTCCTGAAAACATTTGCTGGGTGTGGGTGTTTCCAGCCTCTTTTTAGCCTGAGACTGAAGCTCCTTTCCAGTACACTTAAAGAAACCTTAATGCCTTCAATGTTTAAAAGGTGACAAAGAAACCATCTTAACTGGAATAAATATAATGATACTAATATGATCATTTACAATAATTTATTACATTAGAATAATTCATCTCATTCTGTCCCTCTAATACCTTCTCAATGCTAAACAATGTGGCAAGAGACGATAAATTGAATCCATATCCTTATTGTTGCTCTGAATGCCTTCAGTTCAGTACATCAGAAGGTGTCTGATCCATTATAAATCTGGCAAGACATGTATCTGTTTTCTATCAACAGTTTGTTGCTATCCCTTATCTCCCTCTGTGTTCCTTTTCCCCTCGTGCTGGAAGCAGGCTCTGCAAAATTCTGTTGCCGATTCAGTGACTTTATTTCTGTTGGTCCTCTCCGTTCCACCAGGAGGTATGGAACCGCAACATGTAATATTGTATGTTCCCAGGAGTGATTGTTTTCTAATGAAGAGGGATTTACTCTCTTTCTGGACAAGTGACCAGCTTGCCCCTTCATACTCATTCTAGCCTCGGATGTGACCTGCACCATCCCCTGGCTAACCGTGGGATTGATGTCTTCAAATCACAAGGCAAATATGAACACCAACCTTTAGGCCATCCACGTCTGTGTGTTCAAGTGTGCGTGAGTGCTATAAATCACCTTTGATTTTTTCCGTCTCCAGAAGCAGACCCAGAATTCCATTATAAGTATTTGGCGTTCTAAAGCTGAATCTAAATAAGAGCATAAACGGACAGCTTTCATATATGCACTGTTTGCAGATGTGGTACTTTAAGCTTCAAGATATAAGGAGTCTTTTTTTTTTTGTTTGTGTATGTTATGCATTTGTCTGAGAGCTTTCCTGTAGGAGTTGTCCATTTCACAATGGTCCCTGTTGAGACAGGAAACCGGGAGTGCTTATACATTGCTGTCTGTGATCTTTACCAGACAGTCCTACACCCCTATAACACATCCTCCTCTTTCACTTGCACAGCTGTTGAGTGGCTGAAGGAGATCTGAGTGGCTGCTTCATCATGTAATACAAGACTATTTTATTAATCGTGATTGAGAGGAATATAACGCAATAAAGAAAACATGCAGTGACATCAAAAGGTACTGACTGGCCTTTTAGGAAAAAAACATGCTTTCTAATTTAAGGCAGGAAAGATTGAATTTCGTTCTCGGTAAATCACTGAATTGTGTGTCAGAAATAATGGAACCAACATATTACTAATGCTTCAAAATGTTTATGTATTTATTGAAATTGTAGAAGTGATATCAAAGTTCAAAGAAATGCAGTTCACATTTTTAACTGCCAACCCAGTATTGATTTTACAAGAAGCAATTAAGCTTTATTTTTAGTCATCAACTGTCAGCATTTGTCTTGCATATCATGTGGAGACTTATGATATGATACGAAAACAAGATACCACTGTCATGAAGCTCTATGAACTTATTTTTGTTCCCCTCAGAATTACATATATTTCATGATTTTTTTTTTCCCAGTGATGTTTGAAAAACGTTTTGCATGATTATTACCTGTGATGCCAACATTGTCATATTAATGAATTGCAGCCTAGGGTGAGAGTCCTGCTTGCTCCTGGTGGAAGACGATGTCTTATTGAGTGCTGTCACCAGCAGCATGGAGCTAGAAGAAGTGCCCCCCAAGCTGTTTTTAATTAATGTTAATGTTTAATGTTTCTTTATTAGCCCTATACAATTTCTTGCATTAGGAATTCGTCTTTTCCCATACCCCAGCTTTTCTCCAAAGAGACACAGACACACAGACAGGGAGAGAAGCTTGGGGTCAGAGCGCAGGGTCTGCCATTGTACGGCACCCCTGGAGCAGTTGGGGTTAAGGGCCTTGCTCAGGGGCACAACGGAGTAGATTTCCTCTGCCGGCCGCGGGATTTGAACCTGCAACCTTCCAGCCACAGACTCAGATCCTTAGCCACAGAGCCACCGCTCCGCCCATCTATTTGTGTTTAGTGAGTTTCTGCCTCTGCTGGGTGAATCTACAAGTAAGCATGAGAACAGCTGTCCTTTAGAGATAATGCTTCTAAAACAGGGACATCAAAATGCTTGTTCAGCTCTCGATTTGTAGATAAATGTTTATTACAGATAATGTAATTATGAGTAAAGCAACGTCCAGCTGTAGAAAAGGTACTATAATATGCTTTTCTCCTGCTACAACAACTCTTTGAATATTCCTTACAGCTTTAATGACCAGTTCTTCAAAGTCCTCCTATATGAGGCACACGCTCATATTCAAATAATTGCTTGCTTTGAAATTTCACTATTAATTTTCAGACATTCTGTTCTTCCTCTAATAAATGTGCCACTTTGCTGCAAATGTCTTCTCATAGATAATGATACAGACTATTTGTAGATAATTTTAAAGGGTACAAAATGGAGATCAGTGGTTCAATTATGCCAGGCCTTTATGATATGAGCATTAGCAAATAAACCATAAAGGACACCTAATGCTTTCTCAGTACAGCCTTTTTTTTTGTTAGTGATTTGACCTTTTTAGACATCTCATAGATATATCCATAAAAAAAAGGTTTCTTTAAATTTAGTTTTACCTTACAACGGATGGACCCTTCCATTGCATACTTACATAGCATTGATGATGATGTTATCCGGTCAGTCAGATGCGATTCTCGGCGATTCTATAGGCCATCTCTCGCCACGCTTTCCGGTCTTGGACTTTCTCTTCCAGCTGTTCTATGCCTAAGCCAGTGTCCGTTTTGATGGCGTCGAGCCACCGTGTTCTTTGGCGGCCTTGTCTTCTTGTTCCACTGATCATTCCAGCAACATTGCTTCCTCCAATGAATCTGATCGCATCACGTGACCGAAATAAGTGAGCCGGAGTCTGGTGATCTTTCCCTCAAGCGAAATTTCCGGCTTGATGCGCTCCAGAACCTCTTTATTGGTGACCCTTGCTGTACATAGCATTACTAATGATGTTTTTATATGTTACCAGGGAATCTCTGCAGGTCTGGGCAGTATATAGGTTTTGTCTCTCAAGCTCAAAGAAATCCAAACAAACTGTTGGTTTATCATCTGCCGAATGTAACCATGTTCTGGCTCTTCATTTAGACATCTCTCAAACAAGTCTTACAGTCTGATTTATGAGGTTGCTGGAAAATTCCAGTAGAACAAAACATTTAAAAATACACTCATAACAATAATGTAGGATACATTTATACATTATAATTTTTCTCATAACTGCATTTGCATTTATCTTTAATGTTATATATATATATTAGTTTTCATTACTTTAACTGTACCAGGCTTCATTTTAGTTGTGAAAAACCCGAATTGGGTAATGGACTAACCAGGGATGAAAAAGAAAAAAAAAAGATTAAATCTTCTCTGATGCCTTGTTCAATCTGACAATCAATGTATCACCACAATGCTGCAATTTGTATTTATTCTTTACTCCTTAGTTTGTCCTGTTTTATTGAGCTGATTCGGCAAGAGAATCTGGCCACCTGCGCCTGTCTTCCTTTTGCAGTTTATTAAGTTTAGACATTTTCAGTATTATGAGCTTTGAAGGTAAAATCAGGAGGAGAGATGGATTGTAAAGGTCACTATGGTAGTGATTTGCAGCTGCTGAAGTTGGCACGAGATTCTGCCATATTTGTCGGCTCAGGGGTGCTCTGTTCAGTGAGGTTGGCACGTTTCAGCGTACTTCAAGAAGAGACAAACAAATATATGCGGAGGTAAATAAATCTGTAAATTGGATACACTTAGAGGAAGGAAGAGCACTCTGCTCCTGTTGCTGAAGCGTATGGACCTATAGAGTTGTAGATTTAATTGCAAGAGCCTTCAGTATTTACACTGAATGTTCTTGGGCTCATTAAGGCACTATCTGACTTGTAAAGGCAGATGTGAGACAGCACGTCCATGTCATGTTCGTGAAAACCCCAGTGAACTTAATTAATTAGTTCTTCATTAAAAGATACTTCATTCATTCCCTTGGCTAATTGTCAGATAGACTTGAGTTTTCAACTCAAAGTCTGCTTTAAAGGCCACCAGCTATTGGCAAGCCAGCAGCAACTTCCTTCATTTTTAATTCCTTTGCAGTTAGTGTCGACTTGCATATCAAAGCTAATTGAGGCAAATCTCAAAAGTCACAAGTATGACAAAAGAGAAACAATGATGTTTCAGTGGCATAAACAGCAGGTGATTTATAGATCACTACTTATGTAGTTACAAGCCAACTGGTAAAAATATGGCACAATTAAGTGGGATGAAGTTTTCTTAGATCGGAGCTAATACAATTGAGTAATATCAATCGTGACAGTGCAAATCAATTATAATTATGCTATTTGATATTTTAAAATATTTTTTAATTTTTGGTCTCATGTTACCAATGCTCATCATTAAAAACTTGAACTGTAGTTCTGTTTCATACCATCCATTAAATAAATAAACTTAACATTCATATCACACTTTTGTTTACTGCACTCTGACCTGGGTCAGCAGAGTGTTCATAGCTCTGGAAAAAATAAAGCCAAAATCTTCTGACACAGCTTTCAAGCTTGTGCATGTGAAACTGTCAGACTAAGGCTTTGTTACTTAGGCCATAAGAGAAACAATGGCTTTTAGATAGTAAAGAGGACTTAAAAGAGAGAGTGGCTTTTGTCAGCCTATCAAATATGAAATGAAGGTATGGCAAAAATTGGCATCTTTATTTCAGCTTTCTATTGCTTACCACAAGCTACAAACTGAAACATCTTTTTTTTGTCAGTTCTTATCTTTGGTTGATATGTATTGCCCAAGACCATTTAAATAATTAGATGGTTCAAAATATTCAGTTACAATCCTTATTTCTGTGTTTGACTGACTAAGAGTGATA